TAACAGTAGCGCATCCAATTTCAACAAGGGAACGATTATTTCCTTATAGAAATTTCATTATTCAAATCGTAATATTTATTTGATTGTGAGAATTAATAATTATTAGATATACTCGTACACTTATGGATGAGGATGTTATGGTGCAATAAGGTTTATTAGATGATGGTTTTGTGTATGATAATTTAGTAGAAAATTGTAAATTGTTGCACCCATGTACCCATTGGTATAGGACCCGACGAAATGGACACATTTTAGTTCGGCTTGGATGGGGTGACAATGAGCTAGGGGATTAAGCGATTAAAAAGAAGTGCTCTCTTCTCGAAAACCGAACGTTTGCGTCGGCATTTACACTTTCTTAACAGGTAAGTACCCGTTTTTGTGCCGTCGAATATGAAAGGTCCATTAGCATTGTGTAACAGATGAGATTATACTAATTCCCCGGGGAGGATTCCGTTTCCTATTATTTTTCCGTCGCAAAAGTTTTTGAATAAGTCGGGTAAAATGCTGAAAACCAGCTGGGTTTACATGCGAATGCCTCCACGTAAATGTACAGGGTGTTAATTAATTGTATGCCGATACTTCAGGATGTGAATATTTGGATGATTTTAAGTATACTTAGGAATTTCTTTACTTTAAAGTTTATATCAATATATGTCCTAAACATCTTAGTTTTTGAGCTACAGGGTGTTACAATTTAAAAAAATTACATTTCTATCATAATTTTCTTATTACTCCGGATATTTGTATGAAATTTTGTACACACTTTTTAATTATTAAGTAGCATTTTTGAGGCAAGAGATTTTTTAAAATGTTTTCCATAGTGACGACCGTATGGAGCTTGAACTGAATATGTTTGAAGAAAAAATGGTACGCCACTGTTTTTTCTAAAAACCAAAATTATTTTTAAAATCCTCATTTATTTTTGAGCAAATTCATTCTGTAGGCTTACTTTCGTAGGACGCATCATTTTCGCGAAAAAATAAATAAAAACCAAAACACTTTTTAAGTTCATTTTGAGACAGCTTTTGAGATATTTTGTTGCAATTTGGTAGGCGCTCACCGTGTATAGAAACAACTTTTTTTTTGGATAAAAATTAATTTTCTACAATTACCAGTGACGTACACGTTCGAAATTTCATGAAAACATCTGGAGTAATGAGAAAATTATGATAGAAAAATTATTTTTTTTAAATTGTAACATCCTGTAGCTCGAAAACTAAGACGTTTAGGACATACATGGTGGCATTAATTAATGGCATTAATTAATGCAATGTACTTATATTTTAATGAGTGATTCTTGAGCTAATTTTGAGTCGAAAAGTTCATATAAGTACCTAAAGATTTGTCATTCGAAGCTCATTTTTCGATATACCTATACAGGGTTGTATTTTTATTTTGAAAATTTGAAAAACCATTTGCGATATTACATTATTGAATTCTAGGATAACATATTATGGTATAAATACGCATGTACAATATCTATGTACATAAAATGTCTTCTTCTTATTATGAATTTAGGTAAGTAGATAGTTTTTGGTGTGATGTTTTAGATGTAACAACTAGAGTTTTTAATTATTTTCTTTAAAATGATAAGTTCTACGGAAAAAACGCAAGACACTTTTTTTTGTTTAAAATGAAATGGTTATCAATAATTTTTAAAGAAAGTTTCTAAAAAACAGTGGCGTACTACTTTTTTACATAAAATTGTACCAAGATCTACTCATATCTACGTCATTGGTTAAAATAAAAAAAAATATTTTCTGTTTACAAAATGTGTAATTATACCATAATATGGTAGAATTCTATGTAATATCGCAAACGGTTTTTCAAATTTATGAAAAAAACCTAATTAAAAATAAAACTTTACAACCCCTCTATATCGAAAACCGACCTTCGTAGGACATACCTTTATATAAACTTTTCGACTCAAAATTAGCCCAAGAATCATCCGTTAAAATAAGTACATTGCATTAATTAACACCCTGTATATTAATATAAACTTTTCTTCTTAAAATCACCCAAATACTCAATCAATTTAACACCCTATCTACTTAATTGTTAAAGGCAACGCTATCTAATTTTCTGATTTAGGGTACCTATAATTTTAATAAAAATATAAATACTGGAATAATCGGAATAGAAACGACCCCGTTTACAAACCCGCTGCTGCCATCATCGAATTAAACCGTAAATCGAAAATAGCACATAAACCGAATCGAGAGCATCGAACATCCCACGCCGAAAGTCCAAAAGAACGCCGAGCGAAAAACATCTGGATTTACTCGTTTTTTTTTCATCTTCTTCTTCTTCTCTCATCTCTCTCCCCCTCGGTTCAATTATCCGCTCCGACGGACCGGTTTTCCCGCTCGCCCCCACCACCGGCGCCGGCCAATCCGACGTCGGCGTCGTCGCTCCCTCGGCGTCGCGCCGATTCGCCGGCCTCCAATCGGCGTCCTTGGAGGTTTTCAAGTCGATATTTGTTGCTTTATGAACGGTGCATTTGTCGTCTTTGTACCGGGCGAATATCGCGAAATGATCAGTATAGCCGAGCGATAAATGGCTATAGCCTTCATTGTGTTCCAGATTTTGTTAACATGCCACCGCTGGAGGTGTGCGGCTGTCTTTGTCTGCGGCGCGCCAAGCGCTATGTTTGTTTCTCCGTCGGGTGTTTCTATATCGATCCGGCGGTTTCTGGATGGATTCCGGAGTTTGGCGGAATAAACGGTTTTCTTTTTTTTTGTTTTTTTTTCTTCGGGTGGGACACCGACGATTCCAGATTCGTGGAGTCGGTTCATTTTGCCGATATATCCAGGCTGAATTAATCTTACCAATCATTGGTGTATCTTAAATAAAATTTATTATATGTATAACATATTTAGTGTACTCTACAATTCTATGCAGGGTGTCTAATAAGTTGATACTTTTTTTTTTAACTGCGTGTAGGGCTTTTAATTTTAAGCAACTTTTTCAAGTAAATTTTTTTAATATTCTGGATTCTGGAAAATAAAAAAGATGGAAATTTTTAAAATTTCTTTAAATTTCGAAAATTTTCCAATACGCCCCTGCCATTACCATATAGGTGTCAAAAAATAATAAATAATGAATGACAAAAAATTAATTTTTCGATTGTTGAATTAAAAATGGCTTATTTTTATACAAATAATGAATTGGTAGACATGCTGATTATTTATGGAGAATGTTTCCAAAGCGTTTCCAATCAAAATGGCGACAATTTTGAGCAGTTCCTTTAACTTTTAATGAACAGGACCGTATTAACTAACTTTTTAATAATTAAAAATTGACAAAAAAATGCTCTCTTATTTTCCAGAATATTCAAAAATTTTACTTGAAAAAGTTGCTTTTAATTAAAAAATCTAATCGCAGTTAAAAAAAAGTGTCAACTTATGAGACACCCTGTACACAGGGTGTTAATTAATAAGTGCAACAAATTTCAGGGGGTGATTTTGCTTGACAAAATAATAATATTTTGCTTTATAAATATGTCTGCAAATTCTTCGTTTTCGAGATACGGGGTGTTAAAAAGTTTCTTCACTACTAGATAACATGTATTGAGGAAATGAAAAATACACGTCAAAATGTTTTATTTTTTTACTCGAAAACAGCGGTCTGTACGAAAAAAACGCAAGAGAGTTTTTTTGTCACAAATTGAACGAGGAATTCATTCATAATAGAATTTTGATTAAAAATGTCTAAGGAGCGCACCAATATTATTTTTTTCTTTAAAAAAAAATATTATTACCCGTATGCGCGTCAATGATGAACATAAAATTTTCAATTTTATGTCAAAAAAAGCGTAATAATTACCTCTCAAAACCCACCAAATTTCATTTGAATATCTCCTCTGGTTTCAGAGAAATAAATTAATCTTCGGTTTTTAAACAAGAAACTTTAACACCCTGTATCTCAAAAACTAAGCATTTGACATATCTTTATATAGCAAAATATCATTAGTCTATTATGCAGAACCACCCTCTGAAATTTGTCGCACTTATTAATTAACACCCTGTACATGTTTGTACAGAAACAATTTATTCAAATTAAAGATATTAAAGAAATAACAACAAGATATAATAAGAGTACATAGACAAAATGTTACGCTTTAGATGCAAACAATCACATAGTGATTGAAGAATCATAAAAAGAACTCTTATGTAATATTTTTTTCTCTCTAAATATCCTCCACTCAACTTTTGCCACTTACAATTACAACATCAGTTATTCCTTCAGTAATTTTTAACGTCGACTTTAGTGATCCAGAAAAATCCGGTCCGATAAATTCGAAGGTTTTCTCGCCACGCAGTGTCTAATTAACCGAACGGCGTCCCCCTAAAGACACGCCCAACGTCAAATCATTCAGCCAAATTACCCCGAAATCATTTGTTAACATACGAGATTACCTCGACGTTTACTCTTCTCCAGAAAGCACTTCCTCGTGACGGAATCAACTACTAAGAAACAACAGTTTAAATGGGGGGTGGTTCGCCGCCTCCCCGTTCCCTCTTCTGCCCTCCAAGCGGCGGTGAAGGGTTGCAGAACGAACCGTTTTCGCTTGTACTCACCGCCACGAAACCCATTCGAATTTTTTGTTATCGTTATATTTTAATTTCATCACCTATTTCGATGACTCTATTGAATTATTATACAAATTTATACAGAGTAAAATGGGGGTTAAATTTAGTTGGTTTAGGGGCGCCGCTGGTTTTGCACAGCGCGTCAGAGACACACGTTACCAACCCCCATCCCTTTCGGGGCACATTTACACATAGCGACACGTTACAGAAGTATCACAAAACCGTTAGAGAATCGCGAAAAGGAGACGGGAAATGCGAGGGGTGAGCGGTCGAAAGCGAGAGACGATTAGATCCAGGGGGTGTTTCTGGCCGCGCTGAGGGGTGTGTCCCGGTTATCGCCAGCCCTTAGTCGGGTCCGCCGAAACTCAATCTAAATACTTACAACCTATTCTGTCATAGTCCAGCTATCGGGGCGCTGGATATATATTTTATTGTTTGCGAAAAATTCGCGACGGTTCGGTGCTGGTGCGTTGTGGATATCTTTTTTTTTATTTCGATAATTCGAGTGAATTTTGTTTGTTGTTCGACAGTGATTGTTTGAAATTGTGTTTGCTATCAACGATATTGGTAATAATTTTGTTATTTTTTTTTCTGTAGGTAAATACGGGTTTTAACCCTTATATAGTAACGTGGGGAAGTTGTTATTGGAATAACTCAATAATTGGTTTGATTCGTATGAAATCTTATGTATTAAATTTATTTAATTGAATTATTATTTAGATGAAATTTTGTTCGTAAATATTAGATGATTAGGGATTGTTAAAAATGTTGTATTGGTATTAAATAAGTGTTGAAACGGTATTTACATCGTATTTGATATATTCTAATATTAAATATGTTCATACTCTTTTTATGGAGAATGAAATAAAAATAGTTTACCATGTAAATTAATAATTTAACTATTCTTATATTTTTTATCATCTTCTGTAAATACTTATTACAACATCTATAAAATATACAATTTATACATTTTAACGTTATTACAATAAAAAATCATCAACAGGCATAATAATTAACTGAAAAATAACAATTTAAAGAGAAGGATTTTTCTTACAATAAATGTTCGATATTGGCCACCTCCTTGTTGTTATTTTTCACTCAATACAGATACCTATTGATGATTTTTTTAATGTAATAACGTTAAAATCGACAACGCTCGTGTTGGGATAGTAGATAACCGCCAATTTAGTTTTATTGAAAATTTTAAATCACTAACCATCAGTGCATAATAATTTTTTTACTCAAATACCATGAGAGTTAGAGGTTTTTTGCAAGAGACAAAAATGTTCCAAATAAATACAGCTTTTTCTTAAAAAAAATTAAATATATATTTTTCATAAAAAAATTGGGAGACCACACGGCGCTCAAAAAAAATACTATATAGTTTATGGAAGAGATGGGGTGGTTTTTACCCTTATAGGATTTCACTTCGTGTAATTTTTGCTTTAAACAATGGCTCTTCAATTAAAATAGCTACATACCAAATTTTATGAAAATCTAATGAAGCGTTTTTGAGTTATTAGAAATTTTTGAAAATTTTCTTTTAAATTTGAGGCTCCCTCACAGGCAAATTATGCACTTTGGATATAGATAATTTTGGCTCAATTGACTTATTTTTATCCTACCAACACACAGTATAAGCTCTATTTCCACGGAATTATGGGACACCCTGTATTATATGCATCTATTGAATTACTAAACAAATTTTGTATTAGATTTAAATATTTTATTAAAGTCGGTATTGGAATAGAATGAATAAACCTACACACAATATATAAATATAGAATTTTATTTTAATGGTTTGGGCCAAAGCAGAAATGTTAACCATTCTGCAGGTGAAAAAAATAATTTTTACAGGGTGTCTCAAAATTGACGCCCGTCCTCTCGGTTTATAAATTAGAAAATCAAAATAAGCGTAAACGAAAGAATAAAAATTTTGCTTTTTTCTTTAGTTTCGGAATTATTGATAAAAACAAACATCTAAAATTCAAACGAAAAACGTTATTAAAAATGAAGTAAGCTTAAAACGAATGATTGGCATAGGTTGCTATGATTATTTTCAAAATTTTTAATTAGTTATGTAATAAATGTATAGGTATAATTATATTTTATACGGTTAAAAAAATGGAACGTTATTATCCAATCGAGAATTCGTTGATATGTTCAAAGTGAAGATATTGAGTGAGGATATTAAATATTGACATTTATACCTATAGGTACTAATTATAAATTTTCAAAAATCATCATAATAAAATCATTCGATTTAAGCTTACTTCATTTTTAACAACATTTTCAGATTGAATTCGAGATGCTTGTTTTTATCAATAACTCCGAAACTAAACACAAAACGCAAAATTGTTATTCATCCGTTTACACTTATTTTCGCCTCCTTATTCATAAACAACAGACGTCAATTTTGAGACACCCTGTAAATTACAATCGAATCCAATAAAAAAATTAAAGCAACAATTAAAAACCACCCAATCCCGATATCGCAGGAATGTCGTCGCCGAATCGAGACCCCGAAATCAACGTCGTCTCCAGCCCGGAATCGTCCAGCAGGAACGCTTCCCCGGAACCGGACACCTATCGCTTGATCAACCACGGCCCCCACGCCGCCTATCCCCTCATCAAAACCGTCGACGACGACAACGACAGAACCGACAAGGAGGCGAAGGCCAAATCAGCCGGCGGCTCCACCAACTTCTCCATCTCCAGCATATTGAGCAGAGCCGATCCGACGGTGAAGAAGAACGGCTTCATGGGAACCGTCCACGGCGGAGGCGGCGTCCTCGAAACCGGCCTGGCTGGCGCCGCCGACGGCGGAGTGTTATCCAGGTAACCTAAAAAAAAAAATCATTTCATCGTAATATTATACATTGGAGTTTATTCAACGTGCGCCCGTCGGGCAGAAGTTCGACCCTCTCCATCATATTTCCCAACTCCCCCGTGGCAATCTGCGCTAACTTGCTCTATCTCGGCATTAAATTTGCATCGAGTTAAGTGTTTCCATCTCTGAAGAGAACTCCCGTCGAGCGGAAGAAAAGTTCAAGACTTCCGCGGGAGTATTCCCTAAGAAGCTTAGTCGGCGGCGTTTAAGTGGCTCCGATATTGCTACATGATCAGTAAACAAAGTTTCGAGCGAAAAGTATCCGGAGCGAAATGTTGATATAGACGAGGCACGGAATGGCGAATAAAACGAAATTCGTCTCGGTAGAGATATAAAAGAACTCGGCGTAATGGCGTAATGGATGTCGGTTTCGGTCGATTTGCATTTTAGTTTGAAGGAATGAACCGATGCAACCATAACGAAATTTTTTTTCTTCCACTATATTGTATACTCGAGAGATCAGAAAAGTGTTTGTGTTACCAGCTCTAACCTAGTGGAATATAAACCTTTACATAGATTGGGTTATTGGTTTCATTGAAGATGTTTAAGTTAATACTACTGATGTCCGGTTTCATCAAAGAGAAATAAGACTTTATTCGATGAATAAATTTAATTGTCCAATAAAAATACACAATTTTGTTTCACCAACAACAAATAGCGTTATTCGATGATTAAATTAACTAACGAAATTTGGACTGTAATAGTTTTATTTGATGTTTTGTAACGTCAAATAATATTAATTTGTAATATGTAATAAGTATTTTTCTGATTGTGAATTTTTTATTAATTTTAGTTTGTTTGAGAATAATGCAGGTTAAAGGTAATACAAATATTATGTACTTTTTAAGTTATTTCAAAATTATTTATCTATTAGATTTTTAGCATTATCTTCATCGTCATCTTCAACATCATCTGATGAAGATTTTCATTATAGATGACCTCGAATTGTTTTAGAAAGAAGGATCGTTATTAAATTTTCCTTCTCCTCTTCCAAGTAATTTTTTCTTCTTTACCTTTTTCAATCCATTTCAAAATCACGTACTCTCAAACTCAACATATTCGATAAACTTAAACGAAAACTTATACGATAAACGAACGAAAATTATTCATTATTCGGATACTATTTAACTGTCCAATAAAAATACACATTTTTTTAATATTCTTAAGTTATGTTTCAAAGTTATTTATCTATTAGATTTTAGCATCATCTTCATCATTATCTGATGAAGATTTTCATTATAGACGACATCGAATTGTTTTATAGAAAGAAGTATCGTTATTTAATTTTCCTTCTCCTCTTCCAAGTAATTTTGCTTCTTTCCCTTTTTCGATCCATTTCAAAATCACTCTCAAACTCAAACTCTAAATATAATAAAATAACAATATTCACACGCCACAATTCTAAAGTTTGGTGTATCAGAAATATTTACTAAAACTCTTAAATACCTAACTAAAGATTACCGTGAAACGCCAAAACATTTAACTGGAGTTTTAAAGTTATTCATCGAATAAATATTTATAGATTTATTTGTCGTTGGTGAAATCGGACATGAATTAAATATCAATAATTAGCGAATTGATTCAAATATCTACCTCTACAGTTTGTAGCGATTGCTGGAGAAAAACGAGGGAGAATAACTGAGGATGCTTTCGAGGCGATTAGAAGACGCCTCGAGGAAGCTTATCCCTTCACGAATATCTTATTATCCCGTCGGTTGTTTACCTGCCGTACATTTTTCCTTTTGTGGAATTAAGAAGGAGTATACCGAGTTCAATTGTACGTGGAACCGTAATGATCGTTAAGCCAATTTCGAAGGCTTTTGCCTCGTCTTTTTCAACGTTAATTTTTTCGACTAACTGTAAAAAAAATACTTCGCTTCCATTGAAATGTAAATCGTGCTTGTTTCAGATTAGGATTGATGTCGCATTTCGGCGCATTAGCAGCAGCGAGCAGCCGATATGCTGCGTTATGCGGCACACCGACAGATCCCAGGACCCTGCCTTGGTACTGGGGCAGGATACCTTCTCAGATTCCCAAGGAACAATCCAGTCCTAACGGTGAGTACTCTTACTATTTTTTGCTTCAAACGGAGAATTCAGCGCGAGCAAAGCGTTGAATTATCAAAGATAGTTTGATTGCTCGATTTACTGCTAATTGAATGTCGGTAAATTCCTGCGATTGGGTAACTCTAGAATCGAATCGAATAATTGCAGCAAATTGCCGAACGGCTTCCTGGCGGAGTTAGCGAGAACAAGAATTGCATAATCAAGTGTATAAGGCGATTAGAAATCAGTACACCTACATATGAATTTAATATTATTCACCAATCGATCTGTTGAAGACGTGTTTATAGTGTATTGGTAGATTTTTCCTGGTTGATGTCCAAAATTGACTATGAACCATGAACCATTCACCATGAATCATTTATAACATGAATTATTCTCCCTGAACTATTTACCATTTACCATGAATCATTTATAACATGAATTATTCTTCCTGAACTATTCACCATTTACCATGAATCATTTATAACATGAATTATTCTTCCCGAACTATTCACCATTTACCATGAATCATTTATAACATGAATTATTCTTCCTGAACTATTCACCATTTACCATAAATCATTTATAACATGAATTATTCTTCCCGAACTATTCACCATTTACCATGAATCATTTATAACATGAATTATTCTTCCTGAACTATTCACCATTTACCATGAATCATTTATAACATGAAGTACACCTACATATGAATTTAATATTATTCACCAATCGATCTGTCGAAGACGTGTTAATAGTGTATTGGTAGATTTTTCCTGGTTGATGTCCAAAATTGACTATGAACCATGAACCATTCACCATGAATCATTTATAACATGAATTATTCTCCCTGAACTATTTACCATTTACCATGAATCATTTATAACATGAATTATTCTCCCTGAACTATTCACCATTTACCATGAATCATTTATAACATGAATTATTCTTCCTGAACTATTCACCATTTACCATAAATCATTAATGACATGAATTATTCTTCCTGAACTATTCACTATTTACCATAAATCATTTATAACATGAATTATTCTTCCTGAACTATTCACCATTTACCATGAATCATTTATAACATGAATTATTCTTCCTGAACTACTCACCATTTACCATGAATCATTTATAACATGAATTATTCTTCCTGAACTATTCACCATTTACCATGAATCATTTATAACATGAAGTACACCTACATATATATAAATTTAATATTATTCACCAACCGATCTGTCGAAGACGTGTTAATAGTGTATTGGTAGATTTTTCGGGATTGATTTCCGATAGTCGAGTCGAAATTCCGGCTAATTGGAAAACCGTGTTTTAATGCCCACTTTAGAAATCCGCATTTGGAGGGCTTGCCGTCGATTAGAACTCAAACTTCTCGGTCGTGGGGCTTCGGAAACCGTTGGTGTGCTGTTTGAAAACGTCTTATAATGCGCCGGTAAATCTGTCGTCGCGACGCCGACGCCTGGAAAGATTGTCGACGGAAACGCTACACTCGATAGGTCGGAGAGGAGGCGGAAAAAAATCTGATGGAATTAGGAGAGGAAAAGATTATAGCGAAGGGCCGGCGGGAAGCCCCGTCGGGTGAAGGTCTCGGTTTCTAGCGTATACAGGGTGTTTCACAACTTATCCGACAAATTTTAACCACAGATGCACTGTTACGAAAGAAGTTGATTTCCCAAAAAAGATGTAATAAAAGTCTTACAGAAATCGAGATAATAAAATAATAGTTTTACAGTTCAATTACTTATACAAGATGTTCAAAATTGTTCCCATTTACTGCAATGCAAGCTTGGGTGCGTCTAATCCAATTTCGGCGCAATAATTGAAATACACCTCCTTCCTGGTGATTCTGAAGCCTCAAATTATCGGCAGTCACTGTGATTCGGTCACGCAATTCTTCAATATTCTGAACTGGAGTACGGTATACTTCGTTTTTCAAGTATCCCCATAGAAATTTTGAGAAATCAACTTCTTTCATAACAGTGCATATGTGGTTAGAATTTGTCGGATAAGTTGTGTCGGGTAATCCGTGTACAGAATGTTCGAAAAAAAATACCTAAAGGTGCCTGTTTGGTCATTAAATTTTTGAAACGTCCTGTAAAGTAGAGTAAGTGCGCCAAATATGAACTGGTCTTATAATATGGGCCGCCGCTATTTTAAGAGGAATGTGATTTATATCGAGTAAATGATTATCACACACTAAGCATCAGTTCTTCCTTGATCCATCAGTCGCTTGCAGTGATCCAGGATGCACGAATATATTTACAACAGCCTTTTTTTAGTTTTCTGCAAGGCGAGTTCTAATTTTTTAGCGAGGTTTGGAAGTTTTTTAATCCAAAAAATAGTATTTTATGTGAAAGTGTGATAAGACCACGATGAAGATGAGTCATGTTGCAATTAATTGTATTAACTTTTAATGTTCTATAATATTCCAATTTTCTAAAAAAAAAAAAGAATCTCAAAATGTGTAAGTATCACAATATGGACCAGTGGCACGTTTTAAATATGGAGTGGCTAAAAATTAATTTTTATCTTCTAGAATGGCTTCTAAATTAATAGAGAAGATCAGACAAGTATGGGATAAAAAACGCAATGGCGGAGGTAATTAAAAATGCACGAGAATTGAAAATGGGCTTTTTGAATGCTTCCAAAACATACATTCAAAACAAATCACTTAATGATATCACCACCCAAAAACTTGGAAGACAATCAACATTACCGAGTGAATTGGAAGATGAATTAGTCAATTATATTCTAGAAATGGAAAAATCTGGATGTGGTCCATATTATGTTCACTTTCTGAAAGTTCATAAAAATTATAGACTTTAGAAAATGTTGTTCATTTCAAAGATTTTGTTTTTTGAAGAGTTTTTCTTAACCAAATGGTTAAGGAATTGTTCTCTGATGCAAAAGCTGATGGAAAGCTGATGATTAAAATTTAAAATTCGACTTTTTATTGAGAAAAATTCCTATGGTGGTCCATATATAGCGCACTTACTCTACCAAATTGGTCCATCAAAAAACAGTGCGATTGAGTTAATTGCTTTGGTATAAAGTAACAGAAAATTATGTAATTAGCAGTGATGTTAAAATTACTTTACATTATGTAATTAATTACAATTACAATTACTTTTGGCAATTTGTAATTAATTGCAATTACAATTACAAAATTTGCGAATGTAATTACAATTACAATTACAATCACAATTACTTTGCTTTGGTGTCAGTTTTAAATAATTATTTAGGGATTTGCAATCGTAATTAAACTTTCCACGTATTGAAAATATTAAATAAGTACTTTTGTGTCCAATGTAATCGAAATGTAATTGTAAAACGTAACTGTAACTGTAACGAAAGGAGTAATTGAATTACAAATGAATTACAATTGAGGAGCTTGTAATTACTTACCGCCTCAATTACAATAAAAGTAATTCAATTACTTTTTCAATTACTTGTAATTAATTACTTAACAACACTGGTAATTAGTTCAACAAAAACGCGCCTGTTTTCGAAACTCCAAAAATATTTAAAAACAAACGTGTAATGCATGGAAATGAATTCGGTAACGCCAGGACCACAAAAACGTGCAAAAATATATTAACATGTTCATTGGGCGCCAGATGTCCCGTCTGACAAATGGTTTTTGATAATAACACATACGAAACGTCCAAAATTGTTCCTTTGTCCGATCCTTATCGGCCACAATTTAATGGCATTTCGTCCTCCGTACGAAAGAGACAAACAGCAATTCCATTTAAAAAAATTTAAATGCCCCGATGCTCGATGACCACCCGAGATTATACGCTCGCCCGAAACCGCTATTCGTATATTATATGCATAAATTAGCCCTAATATTCCTAATTATAGGTGTGTTCCAGCAGCTTGTTCAAATTATGTTTGTATCAGTATTGTATTGCGCATACCCTGATATACATATACAAGTTCGTTATAAGATTGGAACATTTCTTGCTGGAACACCTCGAGCAGTTGTTGGGTATCCTGTAATACGGAAATGTTCTTTGAATTCATTTTCCGAATATTGAGGAACTGTCTCCACGATATAATTTTTATTCTTTGGCATCTGCGTTTCTTTCAACAATTCTTCAAAATCGTCTTCAGATAATTCATCGTAACTAATCATAACTTCTTTCGCTATAATAGCTCCAAATAAGTCAATAATTTCCATAGTTTTAAAGTTAATTGTAACTAAACAAATATTTATAACCAACAACAAACTGAGATAACCATAGTTATTTTCGAATTGTACTAAATATACTCACTTCAAACGAGAACAGTTTTACAGATCTCAAACATGATCCAAACAAAAAAAACGAATTCTGACTATAACAAGCAAATATTTACTCAGAACACCAAACAACACGCTGCTGGAACATTTTTAAAATCATTACCCACGCTCACAATGTTCGTAACAACACGAAACATGCTGAGGCTGGAACAAACCTATCATCAGTGTTGTTAAGTAATTAATTACAAGTAATTGAAAAAGTAATTGAATTACTTTTATTGTAATTGAGGCGGTAATTAATTACAAGCTCCTCAATTGTAATTCATTTGTAATTCAATTACTCCTTTCGTTACGATTACAATTACATTTTACAATTACATTTCAATTACATTGGACACAAAAGTACTTATTTAATATTTTCAATACGTGGAAAGTTTAATTTCGATTGCAAATCCCTAAATAATTATTTAAAACTGACACCAAAGCAAAGTAATTGTGATTGTAATTGTAATTATAATTGTAACTTTAATTGTAATTGTAATTACATTCGCAAATTTTGTAATTGTAATTGCAATTAATTACAATTTGCCAAAAGTAATTGTAATTGTAATTAATTACATATTATTAAGTAATTTTAACATCATTGTTTATAACCAACAACAAACTGAGATAACCATAGTTATTTTCGAATTGTACTAAATGTTCTCACTTCAAACGAGAACAGTTTAACATATCTCAAACATGATCCAAACAAAAAAAACGAATTCTGCCTATAAACAGCAAACATTTACTCAGAACACCAAACAACACGCTGCTGGAACATTTTAAAATCATTACCCACGCTCACAATGTTCGTAACAACACGAAACATGCTGAGGCTGGAACAAAACCTATCATCTTGAATTATCGAAGGTTAAAATTAATTCCAGGCGGTTCGACGACGGAAGAACCGAGCCCGCCAACGTCGCCGCGCGACAACCAACAGTCGTTGAACAACAACCAGGAGAGCCGCTCGTCGAGACCGTCTTCGCCGTCGGACCACCAGCGTTCGCCGACGTCGAGCCCCAACAACTCCACCATCATATCCGCCTCGCATCCGGCCTTCCTCGACCAGAATTACCTCAGCATGCGCTCGAAGAGCCCCTTCAGGGACAACGATAATCTCGTCATCGAGGAGGACGTCGAGGACGAGGAGAGCGACTACGACAACGACAAGGACAAGAAGGCCAACAACGCTGGCATGAGTCCCGGCAATTCGATGTCTAACAAGAGGAAAAAGAAGACGAGAACGGTGTTCTCGAGGTCGCAGGTGTTCCAGCTGGAGAGCACCTTCGACATGAAGCGGTACCTGTCGAGCTCCGAGCGCGCCGGACTGGCGGCCAGTCTGCATCTCACCGAAACTCAGGTTTGTTTCTTTTATTTGTATTTTCAATCGAGGGCAGAGGTGAACCTGGTTGATGTCCAAAATTGACTATGAACCATGAACCATTCACCATTTACCATGAATCATTCATAACATGAATTATTCTCCCTGAACTATTCACCTTTTACTATGTATCATTAATGACATGAATTATTCTTCCTGAACTATTCACCATTTACTATGAATCATTAATGACATGAATTATTCTTCCTGAACTATTCACCATTTACCATGAATCATTTATAACATGAATTATTCTTCCTGAACTATTCACCATTTACCATGAATCATTTATAACATGAATTATTCTCCCTGAACTATTCACCATTTACTATGAATCATTAATGACATGAATTATTCTTCCTGAACTATTCACCATTTACCATGAATCATTAATGACATGAATTATTCTTCCTGAACTATTCACCATTTACCATGAATCATTAATGACATGAATTATTCTTCCTGAACTATTCACCATTTACCATGAATCATTTATAACATGAATTATTCTCCCTGAACTATTCACCATTTACCATGAATCATTTATAACATCTATTATTCACCCTGAACTATTTACCATTTACCGTGAATCATTTATAACATAAACTATTCACCCTGAATCATTCACCATGAACCACTCTCCATGAACTATTTACCATTAACCGTTTACTATTCACTATTCGCTATGAACCATTCGCCATGAATTATTTAGCACGAACCATTCATTCTGAACGATTTATCATGAAGTATTCACCATAAACCATTCACAACGAAGCATTTAAAATGAACCATGAACCATGAACCATGAACCATTCATCATGAATCATTTAACATGAACCATTCACCCTGAACGATTCATCATTAACCATACACCATGAACAATTCATCATGAACCATTCACCATAAACCATTCAAAATGGATCATTTTCCATGAACCATGAACCATTCATCATGAATCAATTAGCATGAACCATTCACCCTGAACGATTCATCATTAACCATACAACATGAACAATTCATCATAAACCATTCACCATAAACCATGCACAACGAATCATTTACCATGAACCATGAACCATTCATCATGAATCAATTAGCCTGAACATTTCACCCTGAACATGAACCATGAACCATCATGGTTCATGAACCACCATGATTCATCATGAACCATTCATCTTAAACCATGAACCATTCACCATAAACCATTCACAACGAACTATTTACCAAGAACCAATCACCATTCACCATAAATTGATAAATTTTGGACAAAACCCAACTTTTAAACTCGATTGTCACGACCCAAAAGGATTGTTTTTATACGATCGTTCAATTTCCAGGTGAAAATCTGGTTTCAAAACCGCCGAAACAAATGGAAGCGACAGCTGGCGGCGGAGTTGGAGGCGGCCAATATGGCGCACGCGGCTCAACGTTTGGTGCGAGTGCCGATTTTGTACCACGAATCGGCCAACGGTTCGATCAGGCACCCGTTCGACCAGAACCACCCGCTGGGATTGCACCATCCGCTGGAGGGGCGGGATAGCGCCGGTGCGGGCGGCAGTTCGGTGGTGTCGAGTCCCGGTTATCCGAGTAGTTTGTACTATCACCACCAGGCGGCGGTGGCGGCGGCGGTGCATAGTTTACCGTCGAGTCCAGTGAGTAGGCCACCCATGTCCGGATTGGTGTGAATCGGCTTGGTTCCGATAAGTTATGCCAATATACCTAATAGATAAAATCCGAGAAAGTGATATTTGATTTGTATATATAAAATAAAATGGGTTTAGTGCAACAAAACGCTTCGTTTTTCTATATGTATCGTACAAAAAATCACAAATCGCTTCGTTTCGTTTTTCTCTTTGAAACTGCTCAAAATAAATAAAAAAATATATATTGTGATTTTTTGTAATTTGTGCAAAATGTGACATAATAATAAAGTTATTGTACATAGTTTTTTTTTCTTAAATGTATTTTTTTTTCTGTAGGTATATATTTTGTACATATTTCGATTTGTAAGCATCGGGTTACCTATTACGCCAAAAAATTATAGTTATAATACATGTATAATTGTGTAGTACAATTGTTGTTATAATAAATAGATTACAAAAGATATTTTTGTCTTTATTAATTGTCAATAGAATGATGCACCTTAGAAGCATTAGTCCAAATTTATAAAAATGAAGCATTTACTTATACAAAGATTTTAAAACCATAAAACATTTTCCTTTAAAGCAGCAGCAGGATACTCGAAGCAAAACCTCTCTTCATTCTCTTCTTTTTATGCATATAGCTTAAAGCAATTCCTTCATTTTTTGAGGCAAAAGGTTTGCTTCTTTTTATAAATAATACCTATTGTATTGGGATATTATTTCTTATGCCAATACATCAATTTACATCAGGAAAACTACAACAGATCTAATATTTATAAGCCCTTAATAAGGCCTAACAACCCGCAATATATCAATAAAAAAACCATTCTGTGACAAACACACTCAAACACTCAAACACAGGGGGATGCTCAAAACATCGGTGGCGCCCTCCGCATCAGCGATTAATGTTATCTGTCACTATCGAATCTTTTAACAGATTAACTATTTGCCTTTAATTCGAATTTTAACTTTAATCATGTCCCTTCGACCATCTGGTACTTGCGATAGGGAAACACAATACTCCGGGCGATTGTCGGTCTTCGATCGCAGGACGGGAATAGGAGGGATTTATTCGGACGATAATCGAACAAAATGAAATTGATGTAAATCCGAAATTTTTATGCTAATTGTTTTTTCGATAAAAACGTTATTCGATTGTGAATGATTTGTGCGAATTGCAAGGCGATTTTTGTAGATTTTTGAGAGGGTTTTCAACGAAAGTGTTTTAGTCCGGTTCTGCGTCAATCGTTTCGAATTCGGTCATGTTATTTTAATAGGGATTCGAATTACGCCCTTCTGTTCGCTCATTCATCGGACAATGCTGATGTATTCGCTTATCGATACAATTCGAATCAGGGCGATGTATTATTATTATTTTAAACGCGCAGATTAAAAAAAATCGATCGGTTCTGATCATTAGCTAGAAATTATTACATCGAATTTTCGAAGCGATTTCGAAGCACCCTGTATACAGGGTGTTTTTTTAATAATATGCTAGTATTGAAGGGGGTGTATTTTGGACCCATTTTAAGAAAAAAACTTCATATGAAAACATGTCCTAAACCTAAAATTTGTTATTTTTTTAATTATAGCACAGCGGTTAATGTAGCGGTAGTGTACAAGTGAATGCATTTATTTTTTTTATGCGAAACTGTGAGTCGTATGAAAAAAAGTCAAGAAATCAAATTTGTTGAAAATTGAACGGGGCCTACAAAAATAATTTTTATTTCAAGAGAAAGCAGTGGCGTACCACTTTTACACTCAAAAATAGTTAGCATGAGTCCAGTACGGACGCCACTGTTGAAAATAAAAAAATGTTTTTTACGTCAAGAAATGCTCTTTAATGCTAAAACGCCGTAAACCAAATTTCATAAAAATATTTAAAGTGGCATTGAAATGATAGTAAAAAATTGATTTTTTTTCTTAAAACTTAAACACCTTATAACTCAAAAATTAAGACGTTTAGGACATAGGTTCAAATGAAGTTTTTTTCTTAAAATGGGCCCAAAAATCACCGCCTTCAGTATATTAGCATGTTAATTAAAAAATACCCTGTATATGCATTCAGTGTGTGCCAAAAAATTGTATACAGATGGGGAAAAAGTCGGTTCGAATCGGAACGATTCGGAACGGTTCGAAACGGTTCGGAACAGTCAGAAACAGTTCGGAACAGTCAAGAACAGTTCCATTTCTCAAAAAAAATATTCTTTATAAAATTCTCTGCATGACTTGTAGATGCATAATCAGGTACAAAATGTTTAAAAAATTGCATGCAAGAATACAGGAAGAACAAAAAATTATGATTTGGACTGAGAAATAAATACGCACAAACTGTTCATTATGCATAATTATGCACAAATTATGTATAATTTTTTACTACTTAATCACAATTTCAATGAACATTTTGCTCTCCAATACAGTTTGGGCATATTTTTCCGTCGGTCCAATTCATTCTTTTTTGTTTTCCCTGTATTGAAGGCAGTGATGTTAAAAATACTTTATAATATGTAATTAATTACAATTACAATTACTTTTGGCAAATTGTAATTAATTGCAATTACAATTACAAAATTTTCGACTGTAATTACAATTACAATTAATGTTACAATTACAATTACAATTACAATTACACTCACAATTACTTTGCTTTGGTGTCAGTTTTAAATAATTATTTAGGGATTTGCAATCGGAATTAAACTTTCCACGTATTGAAAATATTAAATAAGTACTTTTGTGTCCAATGTAATTGAAATGTAATTGAAATGTAATAGTAATTGTAACAAAAGGAGTAATTGAATTATAAATGAATTACAATTGAGGAGCATGTAATTAATTACCGCCTCAATTACAATAAAAGTAATTTAATTACTTTTTCAATTACTTGTGATTAATTACTTAACAACACTGATTGAAGGCAATATTTTAAACATTTTATACCTGATTGTGGATCTACAAGTCATGCAGAGAATTTTATCAACAATATTTTTTTTTGTGAATAAATGTTAGATAAAAATTTTCGCCCATTTGTATACAACTTTTTGGGACACCCTCTATAGGTAGAGTACCCGTAATTAAACATTCATCGAAGTCGACAAGTGGCCCATTTTCCAGTAATTTTTTTTCTTCCTTTTATCCGATTATCCGAATAGCAATTCGCCGACAAACAAGGAATATTTCGTTGTCGTTGCACACGCATCACACGCGACCCCCGAAAAACGGAACTTCCGGCGTCGAACGCGCGTTTCTAATTAAATAGATTATTTTTGTTTGCTTAGATAATCATTTAATAGACCCTTAGTATTTGGCTAGGTCGACGTGCACTCCCTAAAAAAGGGACAGATACAATCTGGAGATGGTTATCTGGTCGATGGCACACGCGCCCTTTCATTCGAATAATATACCAATTTATTTTCGCTCCGACCATCGTTCCGTTGTACTTAAAATCTACTTAAATGCGAGTACTTAATGCCTATATACCGAATCAAATAAAAGATCTTTTTTATTTGCCGGAAAATAATTATTTAGCTGCCTATATTAGGTATATGAATAGAAATAATGGTTCATTAGAAGTTTCAACATCAATTAGGAATTGGAACTGTTTAGAACAATTTATAACCCTTCAAGATGAATTAAAACTGTTCAGAACAAGTTTGGATACTTTAGCATGAACTGGAATGGTTCAAAAGAATTAAAAAATTAATATTCTTGATAAATTTGGACAACCTATTCGAAGCAAAATTTAAAACACTTCAGAATAAAGTAGAATTGCTTAGAACAATTTAGAACCATTCAGGACAAATTAGAACCATTCAGAAAAATTTAAAACAGTTTTAGAATTTATAACAAATCAAACCTGGAATTGTCCAGAACAATTCAGAAATATACTGGATAAATTTGAACTACTTAAAGCAATTTAAAACACTTCAGAATGAAATAGAATTGCCCATGCAGTATAATTTAGAACCATTCAGGATGAATTAGAACCATTCAGAAAAATTTTAAACTGTTTTAAAATTAAAAACAAATCAAACCTGGAATTGTCCAGAATAATTCAGAAATATAATCTATAATATGAATTATAATCATTCAGAAGAATCTAAAGCAATTCAAGATGAATTAGAACTGTTTAGATCAATTTTGAACACTTCATCAGGACGAGCTGGAATTGTCCAGAAAAACTGAGAAATATATTGGGTAAATTTGAACCATTCAAAGCAATTTAAAAAATTTCAGAATATGTTGAAATGTTGAATTAGAATTATTCAGAATAATTTAAAATACTTCACGATAATTTAGAACTGTTCAGAACAATATTGAACGCTTTAAGTCGAACTGGAATTGTCCAAAACAATTCATAAATAATCTGGATAAATTTGAAGCATTCACAGCAATTTAAGACACTTCAGAATGAAGAATATCCCAGGATAATTTAGAATCCTTCAGGATGAATTAGAATTATTTAGAACATATTTCAAAGTACACGGTAAATTAGAACTGTTCAGAACAATATTGAACGCTTTAAGTCAAACTGGAATTGTCCAAAACAATTCATAAATAATCTGGATAAATTTGAAGCATTCACAGCAATTTAAGACACTTCAGAATGAAGAATATCCCAGGATAATTTAGAATCCTTCTGGATGAATTAGAATTATTCAGAACATATTTCAAAGTACACGGTAAATTAGAACTGTTCAGAACAATATTGAACGCTTTAAGTCGAACTGGAATTGTCCAAAACAATTCATAAATAATCTGGATAAATTTGAGCCATTCACAGCAATTTAAGACACTTCAGAATGAAGAATATCCCAAAAATCGCTTTAAATCGAACTGGATTTGTCCACAACAATTCAGAAATATACTGGATAATTTTGAACTACTTAATAAAGCTATTAAAAACACTTCATAATGAAGAAAAATTGCTCAGATCAATTTAGAATTATTCACGGTGAATTAGAACTGTTCGAAACAATTTTGAACGCTTTAAGTCGAATTATAATTGTCCAGAATAAATCAGAAATATTCTGGATAATCTTAAACTATACTCAAACCAATTTAAAACACTTCAGAATGAACAATAACTGGCCAGAATTATTTAGAACCATTCACGGTGGATTAGAAGCATTCAGAACGATTTAAAACACTCCACGATGAATCAGAACTGTTTGGAACAATTTTAAATACTTTTATTCGTCCGGACATGCAGTTAATGAGTTAATAAAAGGATAATTCAACTCCTAGATTAAAATAAAAAAAATAAATTTCCCCATTATAGCCAGTGATGTTAAAATTACTTTATAATATGTAATTAATTACAATTACAATTACTTTTGGCAATTTGTAATTAATTGCAATTACAATTACAAAATTT